AGTAAAAAATGCAAGACTAAAATAGTATTTTAATTATTATTATTTCCCCATGCTCACTGGCTTCAACAAAAAATTAACTTTTTTTTTCTTTTTTTTTTTTAATTTTAGCAATTTGGTGATTTTAAGTGTGGTCTTTCTTCAAAGTCCCTTGTGTTTTGGACAATGCCTTATATAATTTTATTAAATACATTTGAGGATATTTTTTAAAACAATTCTTCAAATAATAGACTAGTAAAAAGTAGAATTAATTGTAATACTTGAGGTCCAATTCAATGAAATATTTAATATTGAAATTTTAGGGTTAAAAATTGACAACTTGGCATAGATCAAAAGTTGGCTTCTCCCAATGCATTTTCATCAGTGGTCTATTTCTTTTCTTTTACAAACTGCTAACTTGTGAATAACCATCAAGTTATACTCATTCATAATTAGTCAAATTTAGGGAAAATATTGATTTTTATTTTGAATTAGACGGGATGTATCGATTTCCACTCGAAACTTTCAATATCATCAAATTGCACCTCATACTTTGTTAATAAAAGGTTGCAATCTTTACATTAAATTACTTAAAAATAGTGTGTGCAATTTTTACAGTATGATAAGTCTTTATTTAAAGATTCGTATATATATATAAAAAAAAATCTCATGTGCACTCAATATTATAAAACATATGTGTAATAGGAAATTGGAAAGAATTACAAAGAAAAACAATCTTTTCTTTTTTTTGTCGAGATTTATGAATTTTGAGAGGGATTTAATTGTCGATTTTGTGCGTCCATAAAACTTAATTTTGTTCAAATTAAAGCTCGATTTCATAAAAATTAGTTATTTTTTTAGATTTTACATTGTTTTTCTTAAAATTAGTGGGTTAATTATTAGTAGAAATTGCAACACTTATCTAATTCTAGAGTCTAATTTGAAAAAACTGAAAGTTTATAATGTGAAAATTGAATAGGATAAGATAGAAAGTTTAGAGTGAAAATTTTGATAAACGTTAACTAATAATTTAGGGGTAAGAAATTGATTTTCCCCCAAAAAGTAGTATGCAAAAAAAACTAGCAAGCAACTCAATAAAAATTGCAAGTATAGCTCAACCGATTAAGACTTATATTTTTAATCAAAAGAAATTTAATTTCCCAATGAATAAAAAATCGCAACTCCAACTGATGTGACCTATAATTACCATAAAGGGGTAATGTAAGGTATTCATCAATTCAACCAATTAATTTGGCCGTCAATTTTTCATTTCATTTCACGTATCAACTCTATTTTCATTGGTGAAAAGGTTTTTAAAACGAAAGAGATTCCTTCCTAAAATATTCAATGTATTTTCTTTTGTCTATTTTAAATATCATATTATATACAACAACTCTTTTTCTTTTATATATATTTTATCGATTTTCTTTAGTATCGTGAAAATATCGATGTCAAATTCATAGGACATATTTCTAAGCTTGTAAATTTACAAATTATAATAATGGAAAGTTTCAATTTTATATTTCCCGAAAGTGCAAAAACAATTTGCTTTTCCAAAAATAACCCCCCTCCATTTCCATCACTTGACTTTTCCAAGCACTCAATTTTCCAATACCGCCGACTAGTGGACCCACACCCCACCATCACAATCATCTACACGTTTCGGTATGGGT